CAATGGAACATTGTGAAGTCATATTGTAACATTGTGATGGCACCATGGAGCATTGTGATGTCACATTTGAGGATTGTGGTGTGACAAGGGAATATCATGAAGGCATATTGTAACATTGTGATGACATATTGGAGCAATATAATGGTACTTGGGGAGGTAGTGTTGGAACACTGGAGCATTGTGATGCCATATTAAAGCACTGTGAAGTCAAAATTGAACATTTTGAAGACATATTGTAACACTCTGAATGGCGAATTGGAATATTGTGATGTCACATTGGAGAATTGTGATGTCACATTGGAGCATTGTGATGTCACACTGGATAATTGTGATATAACAATGGAACATTGTGATGGCACATTGCAGCAATATATTGGCACATGGGCCGATAGTGTTGGCACATTTGAGCATTGTGATGTCATATTTAAGCGTTGTTACATCACAATGGATTATTGTGAAGTCAAATTATAACATTGTGATTACACACTCGATCATTTTGATATCACATTGGAACACTGACCAGTCAAATTGTAACATTTTCATGAAACATTGGAGCAATATGATGTCACACGTCGTGTTAGTGTTGGTACTTTGGAGCATTGTGATGGCACATTGGAGGATTGTCCTTTCACATTGGAGCATTTTGATGATACCCTGGAGCATTGTGATGAAAAAATCGAACATTGGGAAATTATAACGTAACATTGTGGAGCATTGTGATGACACAATCGAACAGAAAAGAACATTCAGAAGTCATATTGTAACATTGGTGGCATATTGGAGCAATATATTAGCACATGGACCTATGGTGTTGGCAGATTAAAACATTGTGATGTCATATTGCAATATCGTGATGACAAAGTCTAGCAATATAGTGCACGTGGGGTGATAGTGCTGGACACTGGAGCATTGTGACCTCACAATGGAGTATTGTGAGGTCACAATGGAACATTGAGAAGTCATATGTTATGATTGTGATGGGACACTGGAGCAATATAATGGGACATAAGATGACAGTGCTGGCACATTGGAGCATTGTGATTTCACAATGGAACATTATGAAGTCATATTGTATCATTGTGATGGCACCATGGATCATTGTGAGGTTACATTGGGGGACTGTGAGGGGACATTGAGCACCATGTTTCCATATTGAGCATAATGACAACACAATGGATCATTGTAATGACACAAATGTGCATAGTGATGGCTCAATGAGCATTGAAATGTCACAGTGGAAAATCGTGTATTTATATTCTAACATTATGTTGGCAAATTGGAGCATTGTGGTTTCAATTTTTAGATTTGTGTTGTCATATTGGATCACTGTGAAGTCACAATGGAACATTGTGAAGTCATATTGTAACATTGTGATGGCACATTCGAGCAATGTAATCACTCATGGGGCAATAGTGTTGGTACATTGGAGCATTGTGATATCACACTGGAGCATTGTGATTTCCCAATGGAACATTGAGAAGTCATATTGTCACACTGTGATCGCGCATTGCAGCAATATAATGGCACTTGGGGAGATAGTGTGGGCATATTGGAGAACTGTGATGTCACATTGAAGCATAGGGAAATTACATTGGAATATTGGGAAGTCATATTGGAACATTGTGATGGCACCATAGGGCATTGTGATGGCACATGAAGCATTAGTGTTGGAACACTGAAGTGTTGTGATGTCACATTGCAGCATTATGAAGTCATATTGGAGCACTGTAATGTAACAATGGAACATTGTGAAATCATATTGTAACATTGTGATGGCACAATAGAGCGTTTTGATTTCACACAGAGCGATAGTGTTGGAACATTGAAGCATTGTGATGTCACATTTGAGCATTGTGAAGTCACACTGGAACACTGTGAAGTCATATTGTAACATTTAGATGGCATCATGGAGCATTGTGATGTCACATATGAGGGTTGTGATGTGACAAGGGAACATTGTGAAGGCATATTGTAACACTGTGATGACATATTAGAGCAAAATAATGG